CATGGTTTAACTGAAAGGATTTTAAATGACTCTCATGAAGTATACAATTTATTTCGGATTTTGATAGTCATGACATGCTTATGTATAAGTTGTAGTTCATTTATAGTATTATGCCTCACTAAATAAATACTTAACGTGTGTTAATTTCACGCGTAGGTATAAGCAAATACTAGACGAGTAAGGGGTGCAACAGCAGCAGCTATCATCAATCTAAGGTTGACTCATCAGTAACAGTGGAACAATCATGTTTAGTTTAAAAATTAGCTAGCATGTAATCGAATTTAAGAAAAATGTTTAGGAATGTATTTAAAGTGATAATTTTTAGCAATATGTTTCAATGAATGTTGTATTATTTTACTAAAATGTTTTGTTTTATTTTCGAAACAAAAATTTAATGGGCTTTCAAATGAGTGAATGTTTTTAAAAGTCATATGACACCTATTACTTGTGTACGGAAACATATACGGGAAATGAGTGTTACAGTTTCGGCGGGACCTCTTCGGATTAAATTACGACTATCGGTGACCGATCTCAAAGAGGAAAATTAGGGGTTATGGTCGCGAAAGGTTACCGATCACGTTGGTAGGGTCAAGGAACGACAATGGTGGTCGGAGCGAGGTGGTTTGTCAAGGATAAGTGGTTGGTTTAGGGGTACAAGTTTGGGGTTCACAGGTTAAATTACTAGACAAGGGGGTTTAATTTTCACTGTCAATGAGAAATGAGAAAATTTAGGGTTGGGTCCCCGAATTTCCTACAACTTTCTAAAACTAATTATAAATTTCAAAAACTTATAATTTTACCCTTAAATTGGGGTATGACACACGGCTTATATTTTCCACCCTCCAAAGCTACAAAATCTGCAAAATAAACTTCAACATCTCTTAATCTTCCTTTGCAATCAACTTTTGTTTCTTTTCCAAAACAAAACAAAGAATTTTTCATAGCAGCCCAAAGCCGAGAAGAAGCTAGTCGAGAAGAAGCTAGTCGAGAAGAAAAAAACCCAGTGTGATTGAGAAATCTCTAATCGTGAAAAAGTCAAAATATGAGAAGAAGATTCCAAAGGAAGGCGACTCTACTGAAAATTTGAGTTAATGAATCGCAAGCCCTTCAAAAAGAGAAAAAATTTGGCTGTGAGAGCTGATGATGACGAAAGTTATTGAAAAATGACGTTCCATTCCCTTTGTAAACATATCTGATGATTAATTAAACAAGATTGTTTTGAGAAGAGAAATGAGAAGAAAAGAATAGGGGGAAAAGAATAAAGAAAGAAAAAAGGAGAAAGGAGAAAATATAGAGATTTTTTTGTTTGGACTAAAACGATACCGTTTTAGCCTAAATATAATTTTATATAAAGATTCAAAATAACGTCATTTTGGTGTTAGTTGTCATTTTATAATGTCATTAATTATTTATCAATAAAGTGACAAAAAATTTAATCTTCAAAATTTAATGAGTAAATTGAAAACTTTTAAAGTTGAGTTGACAAAATAGGAGGAAGAAGAAATTTCAAGGGTGAATAATGTACTTTACCCTAAATATTTTTCTCGGGACACATTACAACTTTTGATTGGATTGAAAAATTACTAAAGAAATTAGATTAAAAATAAAAACTCTAATTACATGATGAAATGTGTCACATTTAGATTAGATTAAAAACTATTCAATTAATTAGGTTAAAATTAAAAGAACTATAATTAGTGTTGATACATGCTGAAAAATTAAATTGATTAAATATGTAATAATGAAAAAATGTGTAAATATAAATGATTAGTTACCACATTAACATTTTGTCAACTATTAACGATATATGATTTGATTGATATATTTAAATAATTAAATGATCTGATTAAAAGATTAAAAAATTAATTATTAAAATAAAAAGAAACAATAATTAAATAATTATATGTATAATTTAACCAAAAATTAAACACCAAAGGTATACACTTTGGGTGCGTTTGGTTTACGGAATGTAAGATTATCGGTGGAAATAAAAGATTACCAAGGAATAGGATTACTGGGAATGTTACAATATTGTGTTTGGTTGGTTTGGCAGGAATGTAAGATTATAATGTTTGGTTGAAGGAATAAAAGATTACTGGAATGTATATTTTACCAAATTGTCCTTGTTCTATATTTTTTAACAAGTGAAATTCTAAATATTTAAATAAAAATTATTTATATAAAAATTCTATCTGTTGATAATATATTACTTGAATATTTAAATATATCATGTATTATTTTTATTTTAATTAATATTAAATTTATGTAATTTATGTAAAAATATATTAAAATTTTACATCAACATTTAACTATATGTGTCGGTCTGTTCAAAGTATTCAAAAGACAAAGGCTTTATTTTTGGATGTCTACCAAAAGATGATATATTGCTACTGTTGAAGAAATTGTCTTTCAAATGAAGTACTTCCAAATTCGTTAATCTTAGTTTTGGCACATTATTATCGAGTACAGTTGTTTAAATTTATTGTTTCACGTTACATCTAATTATAAGCCAGTATTAAACAAAAATATTTCATATTTGAAAATTTATGGATCAATTAAATTTTTATTTGAAAAAAATACAATTAGTTAATCATTTTAATTGTTATTATATAACCTAAAGGCCATGTTTGATTGGTTAAAAATATTATTTTACTTAAAAATTATTTAAAGCTAATAATTTATTTTTCTTTCTCAAGCTGTGAATTATCCTTATTATATAACCTAAAATATTTATTTTGATTGGTATGATCGCTATTATAATAATAAAAAAACATATTTATAAGCATAATTACTAAAAATAATTGTGTTCCAGTAATCTCTTTCTCAACAATAAACTAAGGACTAATCAGAACTAATTTATTATCTTTGACAACAATAAAATTAATTCACCAGTATAATAAGTGACAAAACTTATTATTTCACAATGAATCATGTTAAAGAACTAAAAGGACAATTCAAAGAACTGAAATATGCACTCCGAACAGTCATACTTGTAAGAGCTGCAAGTCCGACATCTATGATTTGACGAGAATCCAGGTTGAGTGATTTCAGAGACAAGAGTCCAGACAATTTTCTTAAACCGCCATCTGTAACTTCAGTAAATGACAGGTTTATGCTCTCCAGATTAACCAAACCTACAAGTAAACCAAAAGAAATCGGATGATCATATATAAGAATCAATTGTTTGGGAAGATATCAATTTTATATGATTATTCAATGATTAAAGCTCCTTAGACTACTAAATGAACAATGCTGTTATGCAGACTCATATGAGAATGCCAGATCCAGGTATATGTCTAACATAGGTGCCTTCAATTGTTTTCAAAAAATTTCCATGTAGAATCATCTGAGTTTTGAGAAGGCTTCCAAAGAAGGATAGCAAATCAGAGTAGCGATAACAGAGAATCAAATCAAGAAAATAATTATATGCAACAAAAGAGTTAAAGAATCACTTTACCACCAAAACTAGAAACATAAAGTAACAGCAACTGCAAAATATAGAGAATGTCATACTATGAGAAAGGAGGATATCTAACCAGAAAGATGGCGATGGCCATTGCTTCCAACTTCAGTATCAGACAACTCCAAACATTTCAATCGTTGAAGACCTAAACAAATGAAAGCGGTTGTTTTCAGCCACTGTCGTCTATTTTTTTATAAGATAGCAGAGAATTATTATGAGCTGAGGTAATAGGATGGTTTAATGAAGATGCCAATCCTCCCACAACAGAAGAAAAATAACGTAGGTAGAAACATTTAAATTAAATTAATTATTTCTATTTCAAAATGAACAAATATATAAACAAAGAAAGATGGTATCAGTTAGACCAACAATTCTCAAACCATACATTTATAATCAATATGAAGATTTTTAGATGACGCTAGAGAAATGAGAAAAATGAATGTGCTGGTGTGGAAGGAGAAAGAAGATGCAAGGAAAAAGTACATGCTTGGGAATACTTCTACCATCCAAGGCATTCCTCGCTGAAGAAGCAGTTTCAGCATCAGTGAATTGGATTAATGCATGCCAACAATTGTAATAAATATGAAAATCATATTGAAAAAAATGAAATCACCACAGATCCAAAAATCTAAATGCACTTTTGCCATCCCACCTAGAATCCCGCAGCCTTTTCAAATGTAGCAATTTTGTGAACAAAACCAAATGCAGAAAATACCTAGAACAAAATTAAATCAGAAACAGGTACATATCACAAATACAAATTAGAAAAGAACATTAGAAACCTTCACAAAGATGGGTATAATGTAAAAGTCTTTGTTAACAAATCCAAATGGACAAGAAATAAGTGCAGAATGACACCTGTGCATACATGGCTCAAGATAGACCTTAGAAAGGAGTATGACATACATGATAATATTTCCAAACTGTCTCCAACAAAGGAATATAAATAAGGGGCATAACCATCTGTGATTCAACTAATTTCGATAAAAAAAAACTACCATCTCCAATAAAGGTAACAGTTTAACTCATTTCAAATCTATAAGAAACGGTCTTGTGCTCTTCTATTAAAAAGCATATTCCTTAAAATACAGGATTTAAGAAAATTAAGCATCTCTCATCAGTCGTAGAAGAAATAACACACGAAAATAGAAGTGATACTTCATACATGGCAGTTCACAAGATTTTGACGAACTAAATTAGGCCACTTCTAGAGTCTAGACATAGAAATTCAAGATGTCTCCATTTTGTCATACAAATATGCTCTTTCCTTAATCTAGAGCACCTGAAGCAAAAAAAGGCTTTAAAAAATCTAGAGAGCCAATTCTTATAACAGAAATAGAATAGAGAATCTGTAACAATTGAAGGCATTTAATTGAGAAATGCATGCCAATAATAAGCACTTACCAAGTGAATCGTCTCAATGATCACATCATTAGCTTCCACACCTTCAATGGTAACTAGCAAAACATTTCCTGGGGTATCTCCGGGACTCTTGTTGTTGACAATTTCATGTCTGTTTGAATATTGAATATATACATTTTTTCCACGAACCTGTGCTGGCTCTGATGATGAAGCATAATATGAAACCATCGAAATAGCCTGATTTAAGTCTACCTAAAAATAAAAGTAACATAATTAACATAAAAACTAATTGATCAACCTGCAAATATTATCTAAATTTCACTGCATGAAATTAACCCATCGATATTCAACCTAGAAGAAGAAGAATAAAACCCAAATGATAAGTTAACCCCAGACAAATCAAAATAAACCATCATCCAAGAAAATTCAAAATCCAATCCGATTGGCGGTGAAGTAACACGTCAATGTTTACACATTCTTTTCTTGAAGATTCTAATATGATTACGAGGTTGTATATGTGTCTGATTTCAAATAAGAATAAATTCACACACAACTGCTGACAAAACTGCTCTAACTCGGGTCACATAATAATATTTCTTTTACACTTTCAAATGTGAAAAGCACAGTTCCCCCATCCCAATTCACCACCAAATTAAAAAGTAATAATAACACTTTGCAATTCGGCAATTAACCATCAAATTTACACATCAAAACATTAAAAAATTAGCTAAAAAATAAACGTATGCAAAGAAAACAAATCTCACAAAAAGAACTCATACTTCGACAAATTGAAGGAAAACTTAAATTTACACTAGAAAATCAAATTCCCAAAAGAGTGGACAATAAACAATTGATTGCCCTTACATAACACAAATTGAACATTATTTTTCGCTGACACAAAGCAATCCATAAACTATAAACAAAGAACTTCAAAAAAAATGGAAGGATTTAGAAGCTTACAAATTCAACAAAAGCTTGGTTCCGATTAGCGTTGACATTGCACTTAGTGTTAACGATCTTCCCAAAGGGTTTACAGAGCTCGACGAGTTCCTCTTCGGAACACTCCCATGGGTATAACGGAATTTCGACCAAAAACCAAAACTCGATCACGAAGCTCGAAGACTTTGTCCATTTGCTTTGAAGGGGAAATTTGAAGAGGAATCCTATGGAAGTGAGTGTTGAGAAAATCAATGGAGAGATGGGAAAAGACTTTGTCCATTTGTTTTGAAGCCTCACACCAAGAAGCACAGAAGTGAAGGAAAAACGGTGCACAGTTCTTTTTTTATGTTCTTTCATAACCAAGAAATATGTAAAAACTGAAATATGAATGCCAGAAGCAAATATCTAAGCTAAATCGAAGAAGAAAAAGAAGATTTCAACAGAACGAAGGATATGGGAGAAGACTATTTTAGACAACGGGGACAAGAATGAGTAAATACCAAAAGGAGAGGAAGGATAGACATTCCCGAGAATGTAATAAAAAAAATTCCTGTTGGTATTAATATTTTCCTTACACTTGGTAATACAACCTATCCAAACACGGTACATTCATCCAGAAAAACAATATTCCTCCCAGAAAATAAATATACCTTAACCAAACGGGATCTTTGGGTCACATACTTCTCCTTTGATTAAAAAGAATATTTAAAACTTCACTACTCGGTAATCGGCTCTTCAGTCTAAATCTTAATTTACCAGAGGCATCATCGGCGAAATCGAGCGATGGCCGGTGATTTTGTGGGGAAAGCCAAAACCTATGCGGTACCTGTGGTTCTCTTCTCTCTCGCCATGTTATATCAGCTCATTCTTCTCCCTCGTGCCTTCCCACCTTCTCGTTACGATGGTGAGTCCCAACTCTTTGTATACATGTATTCGTATTTTTATCCATATATTTTACTTAGGAAAGTACTTTCTGGATTTTTTTTAAAATTTTAGAAGTATACTGTTCTTTTCTTATTTAACGCGTGGTAGCTTTGGGAATAAAGACCTATAGTTCAATTGAAGAAGTGCAAGAGGCGTACGTGAATCTTGAATCCAAATGGTAAATCTTCCTTTCTTTATTCTTAAGAAGTTAGCCTTTTGATTGTCTCAAATGATAGTATTAAAATTCATAAAATATTATGCCATCACAGAATATACGAACATTATACAGATGTCGAATTGCTGGACTTTGTTCAATTTATTTATTTATTTATTTCAGATTTTAGCATTTCTTGTTTACATGTCATAAATCGTGATTGTTTCAGGAATTCAGGACTGGAAGTTCCAAGTTCCTACAGCCACCGAATTTATCAAGGTTGGTTAGTTAATCTTCATCTTTTTTAACTTTAGCTTCTGCAAAAAGGAAAAAGATTTGAATTTTTTTTTGGTAGTAAATTTACTGATCCTAGCATTTTGACTTGTAATGGTTGAGCTACTTTCTTTGTTGCTTCACTACTTGAGTTTTGCTTTTGGAAGTAAAAATCCAATTACTATGATTTTACTTTCATCCATTTGCTTCTAAGTAATTTTTTCTAGGACGTAGAAAACAAGCAGTGAAAGCAACAATTGTATGTAGTGTGATGTTGCTCTTATAAAATTAGATGAATTCACATTTAGCCTTAGCTATATGAACATGGTAGGCTGTTTTTGAAGATGCTCAGGTCAAATCATATATTAATCCCATCAGTATGGTGCTTATCTCATTTCAGATTCGGTACGCTTATGAACTTTTGACAAATCCCACATGGAAAAGGAATTATGATGTGTTTGGAATTAATGAGCAAGATGCAAGTATTTTACTGCAAACTACTTGCTGTCTATAGTTTTATCCCCTTGTCACAACTGTGTGCGTGTGAGAGAGAGAGAGCTCTATGTTGGGTTTTTGGCTGTTTAATTGAAGGCTTTTACTTCTGTGGGCTGCAGCATGTTCTGGAGAAACTCAGTCAGCAATATGCAGGGGAAAAGTTCTATAACATAGAGTTGCCATTACTGAATGCTGATGCTTTTGGTATTGAAATTTTGGATTTTTACCATTTTTTCCATTCATGTAAAGCCTTAAAAAGTTAACATGAGGTCAATGAATGCGTACTTCCTGCAGATACTGGAGACTATGCTTTTAATGTTATTACTTCCAAGGAGTTTCAATCTATGTTTCAAGATTCCAAACCATGGTTACTTCAGGTACATACAACCATCAACTGACATGTTTGCATGTTATTTCTACTTTAACCAGATTTCCCTGTTCCATGTCTACAATTTCTTTTCCTTTTCATATTAAAACTTTCCAAAGATGTTTTTCATAATAAAAAATCACTGTTGAGGTTGTCAAATACTCAATACTCTGGTAGACCTTACTGCTCAAATCCAAAAAGCTAGTTTAAGCAATCTCCTTGTTCATGGAGGAAACTAAGAGTTCAAATTCAGCAGCTCAAACATCACAGAGAAAAAGAGAGAGAGAGAGATGCTAAGCTGGGACTTACTAATGTTGGATTGGTCACTTGGCAATCCAACAGCTTAATGTTTTGGATTTTTTGTTTATTGGTGATTTCAACCTAACTCCTTGAAACTGTCCAACTTATACCAATTCCATTCAGTACCATGTTTAATTTGGGTTGACTCAAGCTCTTAGCTAATTCTTATTCCTAGATAATTTTTTTTTTTGATAAGAAGTGGAGGCCTCGTTAAAAACCTCTTTCATGATTATTAAAATGCCTCCTATCAAAAAAAAAGATTATTAAAATGCCCTAAGGTGTTTCATAATCAGCGGAAGGATGAAAAGAATGCCTCAAATTTCATTTATAAAAGACTAGTACATAGTATGTGAATACAACCAAGGTCACCCCCTTACAACAAGAAAACCCGAAAACCAAAATGAAAAACAGCCCAATCAGAAACTCCCAATCTTAGCCAATACCAAACTTTGCTAAACCGTCTGCTTCTACATTTATTGGCCTAGCTACCCAATGAATTAAACCCTCAAATACTCTTAACCTATCAACAATTTCCTTAGCAATAGTAACATACAAACTTGGACATTTATCCAAATTCCTAATCCACTCCACTGATGACTTACTATCACTCTCAACGATCAAACGTTTCTTGTAGCACCACCGAGAAGAATCAAAGAAAATTAAACCCTGCTTGATTGCCTTTAATTCCATTAAAGAAGGAAGACCCGGACCAACAGCTTCTTGAAAAGAACCTAGCACCGAGCCAGCTTCATCTCTTAAGATCCCGCCTAGTCCGCTTGTCTTCCAATCACCACTGACAGTTGCATCCACATCCCTTGGGGGGAGGGGACCAAGAAATTTGATTTACTATATGGTTTTTGGAAGCCGAACAAACATCTCCAAGAGAGGGATCACTAATGAGGGAATCTTTTGAGATGGATACATTGTTAAATTTAGCTAAAAACCAAAAAGCTAGCCTAAACCTTGCTGTGAAAATAATTGAACCTAGTCTAACATCCCCCCATCGAAGACAATGGCATTCCTGTATTTCCAAATTGTCCAAAGAACTACACCTGGAATAAAGGTCCAAATAGTTGAATAAGACACCAAATCTTCCCAAGCTAAGAGAAAGCTTTGTGCATTTTCATGAAAGACATTAGATAAAGTGTTGATCATGCAAACTATTTGCTCATTAAATTTAAACACTTTTTTTCTGGTACTTTGTAAACAAAACATTAATACATTGAGGTGTCATCATTAGAGATTTGGTTTGCACCTAGGTATGTGAAATTCACTAGCTGGTTTGATAATACATGAGCAGTACTCCCCTCGTTCATACAAGTTCTGTACATTATGTTTCTGTATGTACACTTGCTCAAATAGTTATAAGCCCTTCGGAAGGGAAAAGAACCTTCTTAATCCAATATGTCCATTATGTTGAGATTTAGTGTAGAAAAGTGATTTCTTACTCTATAGTCTACTATGGTATGTGTCACATTCGGGGAATAATATGTCCTTGACATATTACCAGCCATAAACCATAGAGTTGGTTATTTGGCCTTCATGCATGTGAATGTGTGTGTTCTATTTGCTTTTGGATTATGGACTTCAGATTTATTATTACTTGTTATTACCTAATCAATTTTGTCATGGATTATCTGCGGTGTTTTTCTTCTAATGATATTTGCATTTAGGTGTATTCATCTAGCAGCAATCGCTCCACCCAATTTGCTAACTTCTGGAAAAAAATCGGTATGTTCTTTTGCTGAAAGCCTTGGATGTAGCGAAGAATATTTATTTGCTCATTACAATGTGGATTTTACTGCTGTTAGTTAACTATGCACTTTGGTAAATATGTAGATTGTAGTATGATTACATATATTTATTTTCAACTCTTATTAAGAGAATATGATTCTTCTGATTTCATCTTTCATCTCTCTGTTTCTCTAAATAGTCGTAAAAAAAGGAGATTTTAGTGAATAAAAATTAGAATTCAATAGTATGATTTGTGTTGGTTGTTGCTTTCTCAGGTAGTAGAATTGTTTAAAATCTTTGTCCAAATCATGGTTGTTTCTTTAATATGTTAATGAATATATGCCTTCTCTTCATATTTAGTTGCTTTGTTGAATGGGGTTGCGAACATCGGTATGGTTGAACTTGGTGAGATTCAAATTGCAGCCTACCTTGCTGAGAGAAAGCCAATGGGCCAGTTTTTCTTCAAGAATGGTTAGTTGTGTTTTATTTACAAATATGACGAGCTAAGATATAGCTCCCCTCTCTGACACTGTATTTGCTATGAACTCTATTTCTTTTTGGCCAAATGCTATTAAATCTTTAAAATGATTTCTATAATATAAAGGGAAATCCCCGGAAAGACTTTGCACGATTTTCTGTTTTGAAGACTATGAACTTATTTATATTTAAGTTATCAGTTGCTTTAATATCAGTAGTACGTATCTTCTCCTTCCAATTAGATGCTATGCCACTAGAAATGCGTTTTTTATTTGCTTTTTCGAATTTTTTAACTTCAGCATGATCAATCACTTCTAACTTTTGTTTAA